AATAGCTTTAGCTGTGACTGATTGATGTGAAATCCATGAACCTGCATTTTTCTGTTTAAAAGAGAGTTTCTAAGCAGTTCCTCCTTATGTGAAGAGGCAGCAAGCCAGGGAGAGTGATCTCAAGGAGCACTCGACAGGGAGACAAGCCTGCCTCTTTCAAGTGCCTTCCTTAATGACACATGCCATCGCTAACGCGTGTTTAGTCTGTCTGCAGATCATACTGTTCGGTGCACGGTTTAAAAAACTAGCTTATCTAAACCTGTAGTTTATGTTGAAATGCAACATATTTCTTATGTTTTGAAATAACAAAGTGCAGGACCATATGATTTGTGATCTATTGGGAATGTCTTAAGAAGAGAGATGTCTTCAGAAGGAAATACCATATAGCATAAGGCCAGTTGCTTGGAATAGCAATATGAATCACTCTGCCACATCATCTGACCTTAGATAGTTTTATTTATTAAAACAATACTTGGCAATAGGGGGAGTTGGGAGTCGGGGGCACTGCACTGAAGTAGTTCCAGTCCTACTTGGGTGGCCATCTCCCAAAGGTAGTGCTTGGAGGATACTGCTTGTATCCTTGGACTCTCCAATGGGGGGGGGGGTCCCCCCAGAAAAGCTATTTAAAATCTCAGTGATATCACTGAGCAAGGCCATCTAGAGTTTTGGAGAGCATTGCCATCAGTACATTGATCGGCACATTCTATTTCTTCTCCTCTTCAGCAGGTGAGACTGTGGATGTGCTCATGTGGTGCCTGGCTGGGACAGTGGCTTTAATGAGGGCTAACAGACTGAGGCTCAATCCAGACAAGACTGAGATGCTCTCAGAGGGTAGGTCCTCTGACTGGCTGGAGGATGTTGAACTTGTTCTTGATGGGGCTGCACTCCCCCTGAAGGAGCAGGTTTGTAGCTTGGGGGTCTCCTTGATCCATCTTTGTTACCTGAGGCCCAGGTGGCTTCTGTGGTATGGAGAGCCTTCTGTCAGCTTTAACAGGTGGCCCAGGTATGTCCCTATGTGGACAGGGACAGCCTGGTTTTAGTGAACTGCCCAGAGAGTTTCAGCTACAGGCAGCATAGAAATAAATAAACAAAGTATGCTTTGATAATTTCTAAACTAGATTATTGCAATGCACTCTACACAGGGCTGCCTTGGAAAACTGTTCGGAAGCTGCAGCTTGTGCAAAGTGCATTGGCTGCCTATATGCTTCCAAGCCCAGTTCAAGGTAGGGCCACAATACCTAACCACAAAGTACCCATATGCTACAGATCTGGGACCTGCCTTCCAAGGCAGCCTTGGTTGGTGACAAGAAGGGCCTTTTCAGCATCAGTCCCCCACTCATGAAACACGCTCTGCACTGAGGCCTTCCTGGTGCCTATTTGATATCTTTTTGGCACCAGGCCAGGACTGCCCTCCATGACAAACCATTCAATTAGTCTGACATTTTATTGGGACATTAAGTCAACTGCTTAACATTTTTTGTGACTTAATTTGTGTAAGCTAGTATAGGCTTTTAAATTTGGATTTAAATTTGGCTTTTAAATTCTGCCCTGTATTTTTATTATGCAACTCTTGTTATTGCATTTTATTGTTTTTATTCAAATCATCCAGAGTGCTTTGGTTGTTGGGCAGTATTAGAAATATAAGCAATAATAGCAAGAACAAGAACAACAACAAACAGTGAAAGGGAAAAATATATATATAAGTTTCAACTCTTAGAAACAGCTGCAGAACACACACACTGTCAGGTTTTATTTCCAAAAATTAAATGAGATGGGTCTTCTTTATTTATCCTATCAGAATCCCTCCCCACATCCCCAGTTTTTGTGATCCTATCAACTGACAGAAAAGCCATTTCTAAAGGCTCAGACTACCCAGGATGGAACCTTTTAATGAAAGAACTGCACAAGGCTGCCTTTTGGTACGAGGGCCCAGGTTTAAATGCTGCTATTACGTATAAAGCTCCAAACAACTTGAGACCACAGTGTCCAAGAGATTGCTTTCCCCTTACCAGTTTGCCCAGTCACTGAGGTTATCAGATGACATACTCTTGGTTGTTCTGCATGGACTTAAAGTGTACTTAGAGTCCATTCTGAGTATAACTTTGAGCATACTGGCTCCCTGTCGTTGGAATTCCCTGCCAGTTAATGTAAGACAAGGGCTAATGTTGCTTGGCTTCCGACATCAACTATTTAAACAGGCTTTTCCTGATTAAATAGGCATGGGTTTATTCTATATTTTTATTCTAAATATTTTCTTTTTGTATTTTGGTTTTCTTTTTAACTGTTTGGGAACCTTTTTTTTAGACTTAGCACTGTTGATTCATTTTCTAAATAAATATATAAAATCACCAGAGACCGTGGACAGGTCACGAGGCAGCTTTGGTCTGTAGCCAAGTAAGGTCTGGCCATAGCTGTTGGGAGTGCAGGAAACAAAAGTGAATTTCTCATCAAAGCTGGCACTCTTCATTGTTTTCTCTTCCTAACTATAAAAATGTCTTTCATCTTATGGATTTTGGAATCATCAGAAGAGTCAGCTGAAATGGGAGATATCTATCACAAGCCACTTTCTGCAAGGATTAGAGCAGAGGGAGGCAGAAAGTAAATCTCCAGGCACTGATGTGAGCATGGCCAAGAGTCAGGAATCCTGGGAGCTGCAGTTCAAAATGTCTGGAGATCTTTCTGCTCACTTTTGATTGGCTCATTTGGTCTTCCTTCCAGCTCATTTTATATTTATATGAGTATAGGCAAGTAGATGCCGTGTGACTGTCATTTTTGTTTGTTTGTTTTGTTTTGGTAGCTCTCAACAAAAGAGGGCTCTAGTTTCTGTGTTAAACAGCAAGAGAGAAATGAACTTTGTCTGCAACTCAGAACTTGTTTTTTTTAAAGCACTATTATTTACATGGAGTATTGGCTTGCACAAGTAGAGATATGGGACTTTGGCCACACTTTAATATAATGATTAAATGGGAGCTCTCAAGCAAACAGTGGTTAAATCCAAGTACGGAATGCAGACCCTAATTAATGAAAACAGAATATCAAAGTGGATAAGCGGAAACCTTTTATTGGTTGTTTGAATCAATGCTGCAAGAGTATCAAATACAAGAATATCTTGTGTCTATATTTTAAATTTTCAAATGTTTCTTATATGTTATTACATTTGAAACTTAAGTGGAAAAACAATTTAAAAGTGTAAACTGTGGGGAAAAGAACATTATCCAGTGCTAGTTCTCTCTTTCATGAGAATATTCCCTCCCTTTCCCTCCATGGCTAGTGTAAATACCCTAAGGCTACACCGTTCATACAATTACCCACTGAACGTCTTATTAGACGCTCTTAGGACTATGCTGTAATCACCATGGCCATGATACAATGCATCATTATTGGCTGGCTTGTAAAACAAGTTTCTAATCCTTGGGGATATGGTACAAAGCTTTAGGCAGCAGCTAACACAAAGCTGTCACAGTATAATTTAAACTGTAATGGTGATATCTGCTAAAAGCCATGAAATCAAGAGGTATCCATAACTGGTCAGGGCCTTCACACACTTTGCTTGCCTCTCCCCAGAGGCTATTAAAAAGCCAATTCCAGTCTACATTCTGAAGGGCTTGTAATACTCTTTTGAAAAAGATTCTCTTATTCCTACTTGGTTTGTCAGAATTCATGACAAGAGATCCCTCTTCGAAACAAGGTATGCTACTTATGACAGTCTGAGTATATTTCTCTGTCTACTTCTTACAAGTGCACATACACACCTGGCTTCTACACACATCTTCATTTGATGACTGCATCATCTCCAGTATGTGTTAAAAAAAAACAAAATAAAGCTCACAACAGTCCATTCCTCTCCTTCAGAAATTCCAGTAGAATCATTATGCTTTGGAAATGTCTACTTATATCTGATTAAGCACCACTTGATAATAGAGATGCACACTATTTTGCCCAAGCCGACTGGCAGCCGTTTCTGAGTCCCCCAGATTACCATCCTCAGCACAGCACATGCCCAGACCGAGGTCTCCTGCTTGGCTTCCAAGACCGGATGGCAGTGGTCAGCAGCAGTTTCTAGCACAGACCATCTCATTGTGATGGCACCATCATTCTTCAGTTATCACAGTACTGTACCTTTCACATATACAGCACCGGTACCATGATAACCGAAAAAGGACAGTTCAAATTCTCGTTGTTTTAACACTGTTTCTAAAAGAGGATGCCAGCAGGCAAGTCATCTGGAGAGCACTTCAAAACAATGCCAAGATCTTTTTGCAAGGCCAAATTAACAAGCTACTTATGAAGAAAGTATAAGCTGCATTCCAATATTCACACCCCTTTCCACCAAAATGAAAGTTATTTCCATTCTGACAGACTATTCACACTCGATGCTTTAAAAGATGCGCGCGCACACACACACACACACACTTCCTCTTGCCTACAGAAGTACACTGCACACACTGAGTAGATCTCCAAGAGTTACCTGTGAACGTTCACAGAATATGATAAGCAGACACTAAGATGCTTTAACATTAACCCCTCAAAACACTTGCTACTTTATCCACAGCTACTAGGAATCTGGGTCCAGGTAATAACAGAGTAAGTTTTGTGCATATCTTTTATATATATGGTATCTTTCACTGCCTGTTTAATTATTATGATGAATATCAATCAATAAGAAAGGCATTTGGTCACAAGAATGTAAATATTCAATTGAAAGTATATGGCATCAAATGGCTTAAAGCTGGTGCCCTTCCAATGTGATGGGACCACAACTCCCACAATTCCCAGCCAGTATGGCCATTGGTCACATTAGTTGTGTATTATGGGAATTGTGGTCCCAACAGATCTGGAGGCACTATATTGAGGAAAGCCGCTTTAAGGAGTAAGTCTAGGTAGTTCCTTTGGCAGCTACAAATAATTCAAGGCAACAACAAATATCTGTTATTCAAGGCAATTAACAAACTGAAGAGGACAATGCAATTCATATTCTGGAGGAAGCCAAAAAGACTTACGTGTAAGGTGACAGCGGTCCCAGCAGGACTTTGGAAACATCCTGCTGTCCAAGGGTCATGAGAAGCAGGAGAAGGGTTTGGTTTGTTGAATCCACACAGCCTCCCTACAAATGCAGTGCTTTAATAATTAAACTTTGCACTTCCCAGAAAGTACAGGCAAGCGGGGGGGGGGGGGGACAATCAAAAAGCACCACTCTCATATTGCCAGGTTCAAAAGATCAAACACACCATTTGCAATGTTTTAAACAAACCCAACTCCAAAAGAACAACACAGAAATCGATATTTGAAATTAGCATAAGGGACTCATTTGTATAAAGAATGCAGCAACAGCTGTCTGAAACGCAACAGAATGGCAAATCGTTTATGCAAAGTGACTTCCACCACAGCACCTCAAAATGATGATGGGAGAGCTTGCTATGGTACAATGGCAACTCCATAAAAGCCGTTTCACACAAACAACTGACCTGTGTAACCAGCTTCAATGGGTTTACAGTATAAGTAACAATTAAGTGGCCATCTCTCCCAGAGTGGACTCATCAATTCAACGGAGTGGCAGGCAGGTTGAAGGCTGACATGCTGGTGGTGTTCTCTCATCAAAGCAATGGCTCTTCCTCCACTTAGAGAACCTTCACTTCCATGTATGCCTTATTCTCTGCAATGTTGACATACATGCCCTCTCGAGAAAGAGGACACCTTGAGCCGCCAATGGGAGAACTTCAAGTTCCAATATCTGTGACTTTCCTAGGTTCTTTCCCTCGCAACTGCTCAGGATTGGGGCAGGGGTGAATTATCTGTTAGAAGAATCCAATTTCTGATAAACACGTGAAGGCAAAAGCCCCTTTAAAATAAATTGTGCATGGATGAGATTTATAAAAAAAGAATGAAAGGCACTTTCTGAACTCACCTCAGTGGAAACAAACATCTGAATCCCTTTTATGTTGTGTCTTTCAGATTATAAGCTTGTAGGCAGGTGCCTATTATGACTATTATACTGTGTAAGCAATTCTAAGGGCCTTTTTGGGTTGAAGAACCAAGTAAAAATGCTGTAAATAAACAAACAATAACATTCCAGCCTACGTTAGCTACAGAAGTGATCCAGTAGGTGGATGCTGTTACACAATGCCAACCAATCCGACATGTTTTCTTGACCTCAAGCGCAATCAGATGGAACATACAAAGAAAGTGACCTTGGCTTTCCAATCCACCCTCCATCCATTAGCGCAGCATGGCTAAGGTTCATCTGTTTCTCTGGCTTTCATTAGGAAGCAGAACAGCCAGTACAGTATCCAGTGACTCAATTTAAGCGCTAATGGATGAGGAACCATCAGCAGGCACAGAACTATGCTTCAGCCCACAGTGTTCTCCCATGAGCTCCTAATCAAGCAAGCGGGGCTTTCAAAGCTACAGACTTGTTCCAATTGTCTATTAAGAAAAGGTTGTATTTCATGCAAAGATAATTTGCTGCATTAGTGAAAAATGTATTATACACAACATATTTCAGTTCAATCATCCATATGACATAAGGAGAACATATGGCAATATAATAGGAGTAGTATAAAAGGAAAGAGAGAGGAAACAAGAATACATGTTAAAATGCAAGTTCCAAGGGTGAGATACAGGCAGTCCCCAGGTTACGAACAAGTTCCATTCCTGAGAAAATGGACATTCGTCTTTAAGTTGAATTTGTGTGTAAGTCAGATCACATAGTCAGCCCTCCAGAGTCACGGGGGTTAGGGGCAAAGGACCCCCGTGAAAGTGGAAAAACTGCAAATATCTCTAGCCCACCCCCTCAACTCACCAGTACCTCCTCTTTGCAGCAAGGAAATGCTGGAGGAATTTCTCTCTCTGGAAGGGCAAGACAGGAACACATGCTTTGGAGACCTCCCTTGCTCCCCTTTTGCTTCCTCTTTTTCTATGGTGATGATGCTTTCCTGCAGTAATTTCTAAAAATTAATAGACTTTATGGCAGTTTGTTCCTAAGTACAGGTTTGTTTTTGGATGTTCCTAACTCAGGGACTGCCTGTTTTATCACACTTTCTTTTAAAAAGACCCTCAGTCCAACCACTTACTCGGTGAATCTCTTCAAGCAGCAACTTTGCACAGTTTGTGCCAAGGTCTTCTGGGAGGACAGGCGTCCCCTGTCCTTGGGGGCTAGAGGACAGCTCAGCGCTAAGGAAGGTACCATTTGTAGTCTCTGCCACAAGAGCCAAGCCAAAACCGGGAGACCTGAAATAATGAGTGAGGAGGAGGAAGGATTGAAGGCTGTGTGTGTGTTCATTCCTAAAGATGTACACTCCTACTCTGAATGAGAAAGCTTCTTCAACTAACATTTGGAAAAACAGAAACATAGCCAAACCCAAGCACTTACCTCCATCCCTGTTCTAGGGAACCTGAGAAAAATTCTTTTGCATCTAGGAACACAAGAAATCTGCCTCATACCAGAGATCCCACTAGGCACCCAGCTAGCTTGGTATTGTCTGTTTTGTCTGGCAGTGGTGTTTCACCATCTCAAGCACAGCTCTTGCATATTACCTGCTACCTGATTGGTATATAAGAAGGAATCAAGACTATCTGCATATAAAGTATGTGCTCTGCAACTGAACAAGGTTGCTCTCCTTAAAAAAAAGAATGGAAGACTATAGGAAGTTTCCTTATACCACATCAGCCTGATATTACCAACACTAACTGTCAACAGCTCTCCAGGGTGTTAGATGGGGTTTTTCCAGCCATTCCTGGAGGTGCCCAGAGTTGAATTTGAGATCTTCTGCATGCAAGGCAGGTGCTCTATGAGTAAGCCAAGTTCCCACCTACCCCACATTTGTTTTGCAGGCTTAACTTACACCTTGATATGACTTAGCCAGGAACTGCTCTCACTCACTCTTCCAACTGGCTCATGGAAGGCCAACAAGACAAACAGATAGCCTTAAGCCAATGGCTTGAGAAACTAGAGTATGGGCCCCATCACTTTATTCCAGCTCTTCTCTTAAATCTGGAGAGAAAGGGCCATACAGGGAATGCTGCAAGGCAGCCCTAGTCATCCAGGTTGGCTGAGTAAGAGAACAGTGAAGAGTTAGGGAGCTCAGTGGTAAAGGTGCACGCAGGAGGTCCCAGGTTCAATCACCAGTCTCTCCAGGTAGGGCTAAAAATAATCCTAGCAGCTACCAAATAGCAAACCTACCACGCCAGCTGCATCAATGCTCCAACCCTGTATAGGGATGCATTCTCTGTTCCTATGACCAGTAAAATGGGAAGAACAGTTGGGCTGGATGGGAAGCAGAAGGGAAATGATGGATGAACTCTTCTCTTAAAACCCTAAGATCATCAGGTGGCAAAGGATGAGGAGGTGAAAAGGTTAAGAGCCCCTCTTCCAAGATCTATCAGGTCTCAAGGTATGTGCTACAGAGTTCAGTCAAGAGATTTCCCTCCTTAGAAAAGCTCATCTCGATCGGGAGGCGTAACAGGTGGGGCTGCATTGCCTCATGGTTTAGTAGTGAAGAATGCAAGCTGGGAAGCCCCCAGGTTCACATCTCACTTTAATGCCGCAGTCTGGCTGATGGGAAAGCCCATTTCCCTGAGCCTCACTTCTCCCTCACCTGCAATATGGGGATAACCATATCAGTGCCCCCACTGCTGAATTACTGCGATAATGCAAGCCAGGTGCTTTGAAAACTTCAAATATGCTATACCAGTTCCACTATTAGATATTATTCTGGTCACTTCAACTTTTCTGTTTCTTTTTAAGCAAGAATTATGTTAATATATCACAAATAATCATCTGAAAAAAACTTACTTTCCAGAGCTGGATCCCTTCATATGATCCGTGTAAATGTAAATATCTGGAAGGAATTTATTCAGGATGCTCCTGGCAGAATCCACGAGTCGGTTTGCAATTTGCGGGGATACTCTGACAGAATAGCTGGTTTATGAAGATAAGAAAAGCAAGAAAGCCGCCAGTGCACAGAAGAGGGCTTTAATTACTTCTATGTGCGCGTATACACCGTAACATACACATACCTATACATACATTCTTGTCAGTATAGCGAAACACAGGAGTGTGCAATTCACAGGCTACAGTTTGCAAGTAATACTTACATCCCCTCTGGGGAGGGGGTGTCGAAAGTCGATGCTAAATGCAGCTTGAGGAATATAATGCACCCACAGGAAGTTCATGTCACTTTACTGAGCTTCAACCACACCACACACCCAGACAACATCCTAACTGCCAAACCAACATGGAAAAAGTAGTGACACTTTCCTAGCACTATGATATCTATTCTTCATTGGTTTAACTGCCAAAGTCCCTACTGGATCCTAGAATACAGCTCCCGTAATTCCCGGCCAAGCCTGAGTAAAGAATGTTCTATTGCTGCTGAAAGGGTAGGAAAGTTACAGAAGTAAAACAGCAAAGACAGTCATTGTTTTGGGGCAGTGGGGTGGCTTACTGTTGAACTAACTGAATGCAAAGGTAGGTGGATAGACTTTTGAGCTGAGAAATATTTTGTGTTCAAAAGGAACCAGACATTATGTTCTAGTTTCCTGGGGGTAAAAATTACCTTTCAGGATAAGCATTACAATTCAATTAAAAGTTGGAGATAAGACTGGAAGACTGAAGACCAGACAGGGACCTGAATCTATAGCACTGGCAAAAGAATGTTAGATATACTCCATCTTTAAGGCACTATTTCAGCAACTCTCTCTTCCAGGACTGCACAGTTTATCCTGTATCATCTGATCATTACAGTATTATTGGTAATGTTGAGGTTTTCATCCTATGGGGAGAAGCTAGGAGTTTGCCATTTCTGTAGTCATCCAATGGCAAAACACTCATAAACCAAAAAAAAAAAAAAAGAGGGGGCTTTAAAAAAAACCACTATTCAACCTGATTGCCTACGATAACTATGAACTGGCTCTGGTGAAGGATGCTATACCTTTGCTGATTCTTATTTTGCCCTTTTAAAAGCATAAGTAAAAGAGAAAATCATGGGCAAGTGAGATGCTAAATATGCAGGGGCTTTCTTTCTAAGAGTAAAAAACACCAGAGTGATTCCATCTGGACAGCACACTTAAACATGTGCTGTAAAAAGCAAACCGCTAGGTCTTTTGGCTGAAGAGTTCAACCTATTCTACCAAGCTCAATCATGTAAGAAGCTCAGCCATGCACAGAATGCCACACATGACTAAAAGCACAAGTCTGTCTGGTTCGACCGAGCAGCAAATCCCCTGCTTAGTTCAATGGAGCTCACTCCTAGATAAGTAAGAATGCAGCCCAAATCTCTACTGAGTGACTGAAACATGCATTTCAGTCTACAAACATTTAAAGTTGGATACGCAACACCTCTGATGCGCTTAATTTTGCCGGGGTCGATGTACTGAATAGGCTTCAGTGCTCTCTTCACAGGACAACTGAATATAACTTCACCACCTCCTTTGGGAGGCATACCCCTCCTTGTGATCTGAAATCAAAACACAAAAACTTAAGGTATGAATCGGTCTATTTAAACAACCATGAGATTTTACGGCATCTACTAAGGTGATGCCACTAAAAATATGGAGAGGAAAAAGGGACATCCAAAGTAATGTTCTTCTTAGATACTGCCCAAAAACAATATATGGACTCCCAACACAGGGACCATTCCCATGTTGCAAAACATACAGGTTGTACCTGATTGTGGATTAGCATGTATGAAGTTTTTCTAGTCTTCACATCCATACTAGACAACAGGATGGAAAAAAGCATTTGGCCATTCCCAGGCTAAAATATACCCATGCACCTCTTTCATGATGGTGGAGCTTTGTATACAAATACGTTGACAATGGAATCCACACAAATTAGCACCCAATCAACTCTAATTAAGAAAGGTACCACTGCCCCCTGGAATAGCAATACAAAAAAGTCAGCCTCAGAATGTTTCCTCATAAAATAAGCAAATAGATCACTCAACCCATTCAGAGCCAATGCCTGGGATAATTAATCCATGTACATGGAACTCTCTAATGGGTTGGAAACAAAGAAGAATTAAAAGAGAGAGGGAGATGAAAGGGAAAAGTCCTTGGTTCTGCCTAAGAATCAGGTTTGTGGATCCGGAAGAAAGCAAGCACCTGGTTCTGCAAGTTCCCTAACCCCTGCTCTCAGTGATGCCCTTGTTCTTTTCCTGCATCTCACTTGCTATGGGGACCTACAGTTGGGTTACATTTTTGGTTCATTTAACCAACTGCTCTGCAGCTACCTTTTATCAGCTTTCACAGTATTACCTCCTCCCGTGTTTTTATGACTGGTTCCTCTGTGAAGACCCATCACCACGTACCCTGTCAAGTGAGGTGTGATGGATGGCAAGTGGCCCTCACGCATGGAATGCTCCTTCAGATAACCTTTTCAGTGTCTTCTTTGTACTATTTCCAATGCCAGGTAAAAAGCTTTTTATTTTTCCAATCTTTTTAGAACCATGCGCTTTTAATCCACTTTAGAGCTGTTGACTGTTTTTAGTGATGGTGAAAATCTCATCATATACTGTTGTATTTGCTGTCCCTGGAATTCATATCTTACTTTTTGTTACTCTGTTAATTTACTGTTACCGTATTTGTAATATTTTATTATTGTGAACTGCAAAAACAACTACTTTGGTTCTCTGTTAGCAAACAAATATTGTTATTGGATATTTATTTACAATAATTTATTTAAAGTGTCTTGACTTTATAGGAGACCTTCACTGACAGGAGAAGCAGAGTCATAAACAAAAAGCCCCCAAAGCAGCAAAATCAAGAAAGAATACCGTGCAAAAAGAGAAACTGCCTTCCTCTTTCCCTTGTCAACGACCCCAGGTGGAATGCAAAAGGTTAACAGAAAAGTGTTTGAAATCTATCTTTCCGAAGCATGCTTTTTGTTTCCCTGTATTGATGAAAGATTATTACACTTGCCAGAGACTACAAATGGGAATATGTAGGAACAGCAATGAAGTTCTTACCTTCAATTCTAATGCCTCGCCATCAATTCCAAATCTTTTCAATAAAGGAATAGCAGTTGCCTTAAGAACATCCACCTGAAAGATATTTAGTAAGGAAGCTCTCTTTACTCATAGAGGATACCAAGAATATTTGCATATCAGTAAATTAAATGTCCATCCTGAGAAGTGGGTTTAAATTGGGCATTTATCTTTCATGGAAAGGAAATGGAAGATTTCAAATTTGTAAAGTAACAGCATTACAGAGTGCATCAACTGATGTCAATGACATGGATGAGTGGCCAACTATGGAAGTATGAGAGAGAACAAACGAGAGTGGGAAGGATCAGGGCAAAAAAAACAGCGACATGGGATGGTATCGAATGTGGCACAACTGCTAATGTAAACTACTCCAGCAGAGTGCCAATACCGTTGGCTGGTATGCTGATTTCCTGCAGAAACCCATGAGTCAGCTAAAGCTTTTGGCAGTGTGCTAGACTAGTTTACTCTAATGCAATGCAATCCTAGTGCACTAGAGTAGTTTACTCTAACGCAAAGCAATCCATGTTAGTGGCAGTGCCTTGTTGGATGCTTCAAGTTGTCACTTGAAAGTTTGTGCTAACTGGTATTGATTGCCACGAGGGCAAATCAATGTATCAGCTGGTACATTGCACCTGCTACCACAGTCTGTGGTTTTCTAGTGTGTTCTCCTGTAAATACAATGCACACACATGCACCACATAAACTAACTCCTGCAAGCTTCAGCCAAGAGTACAGTTTACAGCTGGAGAGACTTTGCATCCTGCAGAGATCTATGTGAACCATTTGGCTTTATCATTACAAAATCCAAGTCTCCTTCTGTTACTCCTTCCTATCATCAGGCCCACCCAGCATCCCACTCAGCTTGACACAGAAAATGCTAATCTCTTGGCTAAGAGCAACAACGCTGGCTCCCATAGAAACACGGCTATTAGCAAACCGAACTGGAAAAAGAGGAGAGTCAGCAGGCAAATGCTTAGGTTTTCATGTTGCTTAGAAGGGTTCAGAAGCACCATTCTGAAAAGAATAAGCAAGCATTCAAACACAACAGAGGGGTTATTTTAAATAGCTCCACAACCAAGCTTTCCTTTTCAGAATCTATGGCATACCCGATGCCAGAATTGGGCTCCAAACTTGGACATCTCAATTTTTAAAAGATTTACAATGATCTTGGTGGGACAGGATAATTCAAGGTAGGCCCCTTCAGTTGCCAGACACAGCAGCAAACCACTGCTGCATGTTGTTTTGACTAGATAGGACTGAGTGCTCAACATACCCTGGCCAACCATCTGACATGGCAGTGCTTCTGGTCCATAAACTAGACAGGCCTAGACATTTTCCCTGAAACATCCTTTTTTTTCAGATGTGCTATGCAGCTTTTTTAATTGGTTACAAGCTACCCAAGGAGAATGCTGGATCTCACTGGCTGGTGACGGTACCTTTGCTGGTAGCCCTCCATGATGTTTCTTTAAATGTTGTTCTAGTGACATTTTCTAACTTTTACAGTAAAATGACAATTCTACTGTAAAAGCATAATAGTTTGATGAACTGCTGTAGACCCACATGCAACAATTTCAATGGAAGCTGAAAAGAAAAGCTGCAGCTCCATGGTGGAAAACATGGTTTGCACACAGAAGGTCCCAGGATCAATTCACAGCATCACTACCGAAGATGGGGAAAGACCAGTGTCTGTAAGTCTGGAAAGCTGCCGCCAGTCCACATGGACTGGGGATGTTCCACTTCAGGCGTGGGGGCCAATCTGCCTCTCAGGGATTCCTCAGTGGACTATCTCCCCATCCTCTAGTTCCATCAAATTTCCTAAAGCTACAAAGCATTTGATTGCTTCCTGGCTGAAAGAGGTTGAACACACTGATACGGACAATACTGAGCATGACGGACCCAAGGCCCAACTTAGCATAAAGCAGCTTCCTACCTTCTTAAGCTCCTGATGGTTCCCCCGGCAGCTCAACAACCAATGCAATGACTCAGGCACAGACAGCATTTCAATGTTCAGTTGGTGCAACTTTTAAAGACCAGCTCAAAACCCTTCCTTCTGCAGATGCTGCAGACTGGCCTGGGCAGGGTAGGGCAGGGCTTCTGTTTTGTGTTGGAGTGGGTGCTGCATCACTGATCCAGCTAATCTGGGCTAAGATGTTAGCCTAGTTGGTCACCATTCATTTTCACAAACCAGGCAAGGGAAGAAAGAAGTGGTCACTTGATCTAGAACAGAACGGGATTTGCTTCTGCTTGTTTTTCTCCCTCCATTCTACTTTGTCTTATTCAAGTCTCAGCAAGTCAAACGGGAATACTGAGTATCACAACTGAAAATACTGAAATATAAGACGGGAACAAAGTGCAGACAAACTCGGATATCCTGAGGGGTGCTGCAACCCTTTCGATCTGGGATTCCATTTGTGGGTCATCTTGTTTATTAAAGCTAAGAATGCATAAAGTGCAAAGCATCCTTAGCGAGGAAAACACATGTTCTCATCCCACACAAAAAAAAACCTTGAAAATGGATTGCAGGGTAGCCTTTGCTGCCTCTATTTGCCAACCAGAAATGGTTTTGATTAAGTGAAGGAGGAGCAGCTTTTCTACCCCCTCAATTCCTTGGTCTCAGTTCTCAGCACTAGTTCTTCCATCCAGTCCTGCAGGCAGAGTTGAGGCCCAAAATCAGGCTGCCTCCTTACAATCAATACAGCAAGAACTGGTGCCCAATTGCAACTAAACAAAAGCTCTATTTATTTTCCTTACATACGGCTCTCAAGTCAATCGCAAAATCGATGGCCAGATTGCAGCAGCTGCAGGTCAGACACACATGCAGGAGCTCATCTGTCTAAACATGGCTCAGGTTCCCTGTCAACAATTTGCCTTCTTCAAAGTAGCCTTTAGCTGGGGCTACAACTGCAGCCACAGGACACAGTGTCCTCTTCCCCATGTACTCCTGATTATAGACCCTTACAAATGAGCAGACATGCACAGAGAACTATGAGCTACAATTATGAAGCCCACAGACATGCCCTGCCAAGACAGGAGCAGTTCCCCCATCAGTGGTGCACCTGCTCTTTTTCCTCTGGATCCCTGCTGCAACCAACTTCCACTGCTCCTGCTTTCTGGCTCTTTCTTATCTCATTGTACCGCATCTTGTCTGTGCCAGCTCCCTCCAGCCTGTGTCTAACTCTGCTGCTGCATTTTATGCACTATGTCCTGAGAGAGGGAAGGCTCAAGGAGGAGGAGTATTTGGTACTCGAAGCTTGGCCACTTACCGAAGGATCCACTTGATCGTTGGTGATGCCCCGGAGAACAATTCTTAATGAATGCTTCATGAATGGGGCTAGGCAGAGAAGGCTTTCCAGGTAATACCCAATGCTGCGGCTGGGGCTACAATCGTGTTCCAGTGAACCCCCGCAGAGCAGGCCAGGCTGATAGTATAAAGTGGTACCTTGGAAGAACAAAAGGGATTTTTCAAAATGTCTTGCATCGGAACAATTATGCACAGGCACCTGCCTTCCCCATTACTTGATGCCTAGCAGCCACTGAGGTACAGCAGTTAAGAGTGCAGGACTGGGACTCGGGTGATCTGGACTATTTTATTTATTTGATTTATACCCCACTTTTATCTTATAATGAACTCAAGGTGTCTTACATCATTCTCCTCCTCCTGATTTCAATCTTACCTCCCCAGCAACAACTCTGTGAGGCAGGTTGGGCTGAGGGTCTGTGACTGGCCCAGAGTTCCCCCTTGGCCATGAAGCCAATTGGGTGAGCAAAGCAAATTATAATTCCCTGTGGTGAGATATGGATGGTACCTCCTGGGGAAAATAGACAGGTGGCTCCTAAAGGGGCAGGAAGAGCAGGAGCACATAAGAAGAAATCAAACATCAGCCCCCTTAGGGCTGGAGCCCTTTGAACTACACTAGAATGAAAGAGAATTGGTTGGGAGAGATCAGCCTTTCTGGCATGTAACAAACCTGGCTGCTATTTCCTGCATTTAGTGTTTCTGGGGGGGAGGCAGTTATTGGTTGCCTAGATGTTAATACCTTGGTGCACTGGAAAGTTTGGTAGATTTGCCCCTGGTTAATATATAACTGATGAATGTAAGATGACATTGCACCTTAAGGCAATGCACCTAGATACTTATTTTGTGATTGATTTAAAATGATATATTAATGCTAGAGAAATGAATTGCTTGGGTTGCTATGGTAATGATATATTATTGCAGTCGATGTATCAATAGGCGTGCTGTTCTTTTGCTGTTTTTGTGTGGTGAGCCACCATGGGCACATTATGTGGGAAAGCAGGACACAAATGAAGAGATGAGGATGGTGCCCCAAATATGCCTCTCGACTGTCATGCACTGTTACACACTAGGAGCAACTCCTGGGAAAATACATCTTTTCTGAATGCTCCTAAAAAGAATCTTAAATACTGAGCTGATTCTAATCCAAACCAACTATTTGCTTGTCTTTGAGAGTGCTGTGAATGTCAGCAAATTATTTTCTGTATTTGTGTTGCTAGTCCATTCCAGCAATAGGAACAGAAAGGGTGACTACAAAACAGGAGAGAAACTCAAGTTTCTTCCCATCTTTTGGTATAAATCATTTACAGCAAATGACTCTACCACATCAGAACCAAAGAAGCACCAGATGAAAATAAAACAAAAATAAGCCTTAAAACTATATATTTTCAAATTTAATATTTCAATAATAATAATAACAGGGAGACACGTGTTCCTAACCCCTTCTGCTGCATCCAAGCCTAAGTACAAGTAACAAACAATTGCGTTACCTTTCCCTGTTACCTCCGCCACCTTCTCCTTTCTGTTTTCCCTGCACTATATTTTGCACTATAAGCCCCTCAGGGCATGGCCCCTTTTTCTTGCATTCTGTAAAGCACCATGGACAGTGGCAGTACTAATCAGATAATAAATAATTACCTGTTTGGTTTATTTCAATCCTAGAGCCATTGGTGATTTTGTCAATCAGCCTTATAAAGTTGGCTTCGAAATCTGTCAGGGAAATGAAAGGTGCATTCAGTATTGTTCCAGGAATGTTCACACCAATCTTCACAAAAGGCAGTGACATGTACAGTACTGCAATCAAAAACATTCTCCCATTTCCCCCATATGCCATCCATCAATCATGCAATAAAAGCGTTTGAGCAAATAAAATGTATTCAAATTTTATAACTGGGAGAACCGAGGAAACAATAAAAATTGAGCCACAATGGATTTGAGGGTGCAGCCTTATACAGACTCCCTCCCACAAACACAAAGAGCAAGACTTTCATCCAAGTAAATTTGCAAACCAATGGACTGCAAGATATTTCACCAGCATTATGCAGAAAGACTACTTATACCTGGCCCCAACCATCAAATTGGACCCATTTTCTCCACCCATTCAGCTGCCTTCTCAGGGTACTTTGTAGAAGTGACAAAAAAGCATTAGCAGTAATTGCTCCAAACAAGAGTAACAAAAAGTGTATATGAGTATGTGGAGGATTAATAACTCCCATTCCTAGAAAGCTGGCGACCTGGGGAAGTGACAAAACCTGGAAGGCACTGAGAACCAAAAGTTCAGCACTTGAAATCCAGAAGATTACACTGCCTGGGGAGAGATCTTGTGGCCACCTCCCTTTTTGCTGCACCTACAACTTTCCCCTTTACTAGTGATTTTGAACTGACAGTTCAACAACTCTGCCCAAGTTAGTCTATATCATTATCATCACCATCACCATCACCATCTCTATACCATGCCACAGCCAAAGCTCTCTGAACAGTCTATAAGCAGTCTTGCCATGTTGATTTTCATGTTACCAACTGCATTTCCCTCTAAAGGCATCAGCCAAGTAGGACTACATAGACTGGGCATCTGAAAGTGTGCCCTTGTGCACCTCTGAAGGACCGAAAGGGTATTTTTTAAAAAACATGAAGACATTTTAATACATTTCTGGGCTGAATTGTGGCAAACCAGCAGGGTGGATTTGATTTAAATCAAATCAATTTCAATATTGATTTAAATCACAATTTAAACCACTAGTCAGTAAGACTAGATTTAAATCATGGTTTTCTACATAAAGACTCATTCTTGCGGGTACAATTTTAATTTTTACAATCAGATGAAAGTTTAACTTTTAGAACAACTTTTCAGATTAGTTTTACAGTTATATCAAACATTTACTGATTTGGCTATACTACTAGAAACACATAATAAACAATTACAAAATTATTGCAAGGTGTCTGTATTTTGCATGCATACCTGCCTTACCCATAGGTAGAGGAATATTAAAATATTCCCAAACTGGGTCTCTTTTATAGCCTGTTGCTATTATAGGTTTTCTCTTCCAGGAAAGAATAATATGATAAACCTCAGGCTTATACACAAAATGATGCAAGGACTTGTGGAGCATTCTGCTCACAAGGGTTCACTTTCATTTTTTACCGCTTGTCTCCTCACACTCAACTTGTTGCACCTATTATTATTATTATTATTATTATTATTATTACAACATTTCTATGCCGCCCCTTGCCGAAGCCTCGGGGTGGCTTACAACACAATAAAATACATTGAAATACAATAGAACATAATAAATTACCATTAAATACAAAAATACAAAAAATACATTGAGTTACAAACATAATAATATAAAATTAAAATTATCAGTATAAAATAAGTAAATAAATAACATAGGAGGAGAAAAGAGAGGGAAGAAGAAGTTGCCCTGGCCAGATCATATATTTTAACAATTAAAATGATGTTTAAATAAAAAGGTCTTTACCTGGCGCCGAAAAACCAGTAACGACGGCGCCAGGCGGACCTCTTTGGGGAGTGAATTCCCCAATCTTCTTCTATTCAGTGATTTTTATTTTTTATTTTGGGGGTGGGGGGAAATCTTGCACTTAAGAGGTAAGGGAATGATTCTGTATACAAAGATTTGCAAAGGAAAATGGGAGTAAGGCCCTTTTCTCAACTCTGTATGTTTACTGTATAACATTTTTGCTGTGAGGAAGAGGCATGTGATCTTGTAGACACAAATTCACAGTTTTGAGAACTGTAAAACTAAGCATCCATGATAATATCTTCTAGATAGAAAAAATGTCCAATAAACTTACAGAAACCTCTAGAAGAACATAACATTGTGAATGGAGTAATGGAATCCATTTACAAAAAACAAACAAACAAAAATAAATAAATTGCATGAATATACAGCCTCATCCTACATAATTAAAAACTAATCCATATTTGCAGAGGAATAGCCTTCGGAATATAATGTATCTTAAATAGAAAACTAGATAGATTTTTCCTCAAAAAGCATTTTATTTAAAAATCCAATTTACATTTACAAAATCCATTTTAATTATTTTTTAAATCGTTCATTTTTATCCACCCTGCAAACCAGTGATGGTCCCTCTGAAGTGCCACTGGTGGCAGCACGTGTGCGATCACAGAGAACTGCACGGGATTTTGCCACTCTTCCCAGGCAGTTCTCTAACTGCCCTCCCCCTTGCAGCCCCTGAGGGGATCTCTCTCTTATGCGCTGTGGCCCGAAGTTCAGCAAGGAGAAAAAGAGACTGGTGTTTGCAGGTACAGGAGAGTTACCTGAAGGCAGGGAAAGGAGGGTGGAAAGGCGGCATGTAAAGGGATTTCTTGTGTAATGGAAGGAAACAAGGGGGTGAAGAGGAACAAGTCATGGGGAAATAGGAAAAAGGGTCGATGGAGGGACTAATAAAGGACAGGAAGAGGGAAAGTGGCATGCCGTTCAAAAAGAAAAAGGAAGGAAAGATGGGACAGCAGAGAAACTGGCAGCTGGAGAAACAATAAAGGAAGGGGGGAAAGAGTGAGAGAAAGCGGCTTACTTCACAGAGGAACAGAGGCGAAATTAACAGAGAGGCTGGGTCCACGTGGAGAGAGAAAGCAAAGAAGCTACAGTGACATCCCTCTGTTAGCAGAGGCGACATGTCCCTGTGCACAAGTTGCAGAGGCACTTGGGCAGGCGGAACTCCCTGCCACCTGCTTGAGGGATCCTGTGGGCAGCCGGGCAGCCACTGTGTGGACAGTGCTGGACTGGATGACCAGTGGGCTGATTCAGCAGGACTTTTCTTTTGTTCTTATGTGCTCATTTTCCCATCTACATGTGCCACCTCAACTCCATCATTACCCTCGATAAACATGGGTTATGGTGTCATCCAAAGCCATCCAGGGTGGGGAATGGGGAGAGTCTCTAAACTACCGGGAAACCCAGAACGAACCATGAGCTGCACAGCGGTTTGGAAGCCACCCTTGCCGCTCATCTCACAACGCAGCAACCCTGCACAGAACGGATAGGGAAGCGTGGTGGCTTGTGACAAGTATGCAAGTGGCACGGCAAAGCCACCGTGGCGTCTTGTCCTTCCCTGATTGTGCAAACCTGGCCACTGAGTGCTTCAGAGGAACCTCTGGAGAGGCAGAGGTACGCAGATGCTGCAGGTGTAGGAAGAAAGGCAGGAAGAGTGGGGGAAGGAGTTAACAAAGACTGTGTTACAAGAAAACACTATTCAAATGAAAGTTACAATACAATAATACATTTTTTTCTGAGATAAAATAATAAAACAATCTGAGAACAGCTAAAACAACATATGAAACAGGGTAGACCTGTAAAGCACCGGATTGGTTGCCAAGCCCTTAAATATCCTTGATGTCTTGAAATGCCTCAGCTATCTTATAACCTGGTGCTGAAAGGATAACAAGTTTGGTGCCAAGCAGGCCTCCTTGGGGAGATTGTCCCACCTCTGAACCCCTCCCCACCACCACTGCCTTCTGAGCCTCCCTCTGAACTGGCACTTGCAAGAAGGCCTCAAGTGTTGATCGTTGTGTCTGGACGAAGCAAGACTGGGAAAGGCGCTCCGTTAAGGATTGTGATTGCAAGCTGTATAAGGCTTCCTAGGTCAAAGCAGTGCCCTGAATCAGGCTCAGAAGCATACGAACAGTCAATGCAAGCAGCCCAGAACTGGTCTTCTATATTCAGACCTGTTGGTCCCAGTTATTAGTATGGTTACCATGTTTGGCAAAAACTGCAGTTTCTGATCAGTTTTCCACATAGACTGCACTGCAGTAATCCAAGTTCAAAATTACCAGAATGCCACTAACTGAAACCAGGCTGCCCCTGTCCAGATGGGGCATGGCTGGTGCTAGTAAAAGACTCTCTATGCCTCTAAGACCACCCGAGACTCCAGTCACACAAATGATTGAAGGAGGACCTCCAGGTTAAGAGCCTGCTCCTTCAAGGGATGTGCAGCTCCAACCTTAACAGGTTAAACACCTTCCGTCTGGGCAGCTGAACCACCCACTAACAGCATCTCAGTCCGGCTTGGCTTGGACTTCGGTCTGGGAGCCCTCATCTCATCCATTGTTGCAGCCAGGCCCCAGTTTAGCATGATCACAGCCCTGCTGAGTTCCTCAGTAAATAAGAGTAGCTCTCAGAGTGATTAAGGTTTGCATCGCCATTCTTTTACTCCTCACTCTAATTGGTATGACAAACTAAGCAATGAACAGGAAACAGAAATACCACAGCGCAAGAGAAGGACACACAAAATAGGAGCTTCTTCATTCATTTCTGTTTATTTTTCTCAAAACGACAGAATCTGTAGGAGGCCATGTGTTTTCTTTAGCATCACCACATTTCCAATAATACACAACTTGTGGGAGTGTTTTGAGAAGCTGCTTTCCTGTGTGCCAGTGGCTGCCCTGGGAGAATGACTCACAGGAACACAAGTAGCTGCCTTTCTAGGGAGCAAGCCCCTTGGTTCGCCAGGATCAGTACTGTCAGCATAGACTGGCATCAGCTTTACAGGGCTTCAGGCAAGAGAATTCCTGGCCCAACCTGGCGATGCTGGGCATTAAGACTTTCTGCATGTAGAGGGGGGGGGGGGGGGGGAGAGTGTCTACCACAGAGCCACGGACTCCACTCAATGGAAATATTTTATATGGAAGCTGCAAAGGCCTGTGGAGAAGTGACTGCACCACATTTTCTCTGAGGTGACCATTGGAAGGTGAGTTATGCACTGGAGTTGGTATGGCATCCGTCTGGTTGCCCAAAAATGCTGCCTCCTGTGCACATCTTTGAAACTTTAGAGGATCCAACAATCAGGGCAAGGCTTTCCCTAAAATTCACATATACCTTACCAGTGCCAAGTCTATCAGTCATTACCAGCAACACTGACAACCAATGCAAGTTTCTCCCTGACTGGCAGAAGATTCAGGTCACGTAATCACAGGCATTATCTTACATTGCACAGAGATACAGAACAGTTTGAAGTTGGGGACTCAATTGCCCCCATGGGCCAGATGATGTGGCTGCACTCACTGACATCACTGCCCCATCCAGTCCAGCATTTCTCCTTGCTGAGAAAGGCATGGAGCTCTGTCCCTCTCAGCACAGAGAAAACCCCTCGACCAGCACAGGGAGTTGAAGCTGCTCCTTCCAGTGGGAGGGAAAGCAGCACACAAGGCAATTCCTGTTCCTATGCTGATTGGATATGATAATGTGAATTCCCAAGAAGAATTCCCTGGAAGGTTTGGCACTTGGAAACCTCTGGAAGAACCCCAGGAAGCTGCATGAATCAATTTGACCTGCAGGCTGATAGTTCTGTTTCCCCAACACATAGGAAACATGCCACAGTTTCGCTAAGATGTGGTGATGCCTCTGTCAACTCAGAGAGCTTTAAAAAGGAGAGAATCGGATTCATGGAGGGCAAGGATACTGATGCCCATTCGTCAGGATGGCTGCATGCAATTCCCAAGTTCAAAGCAGTGCATTGTCACGTTCAGGCTTCCAAGTTGCATCTGGGTGGCTGCTATGAGAAACAGGATGATGTAACTGCGGTCCTTTGCAGCAGGGCTTTCCTGTGTCACACACCAGACTCTCAAGCTGACCTGCCTGAAACCTCACACCCGGCTGAGATGGATGTGCCCACCCCTGCTGAGTGCCTGCAGACAGGGCTATGAAGTCAGAAGCCTCACTGGAGGCAATCGCCTCCTGGCCAGTCTAGTCCACTTGTTACACCAGGATGGTTTGACAGGTCCAGGTTTCAGCATATGGTGGTCCTGGTTATTAGTCTGCAATCTTGTGGTCTCCCAACATCATCTGGGAGACCACAGAACTTTTCAGAACCTGAGCACTGGGGTCCTTCAACCGCAGTGCTTGGCCTCTGAAGGCTGCAGCCCTGCTCTATCCCACCACAGCCAGCACAGAAAGAAGGGCAACAGCTCCCCACTTCCACAAGGTCCCAACTGGGCCTCTGAAGAGGAAAAAGGGAGGTGTCTGGGGGAAGGGAGGAAAGGCGGCTGCAGCCACAGAGCAGCACTGATTCCAATCCTTCCTTTCTCCTCCTTCACTCTAAATCTAGATGGCCAAAAGCACCCGAGTAGATAAAATGCAGGGTGCAAGGCATGGCAGCTGCAGACTGGCACTGCAGCACCTTACATCCTGCATTCATTAATCATAAGCCTTCAAGTTCGGGGCTTACAAACATCTGCTGCAAAGGTGATCGAATTGGGCTCTCACTCACTATGCAGATGTGTCCAGTTCTTCTCCTGGCTTGTGCTGGCTCTAAGTGAATCTGTCCTCTTTAGTAGGACATGCAACTGGTTTAGCAGAATCCTCTCCAATAGGATGTGCCCAAAAAACCCTCTTCATCTGTAGCCAGCATTGCTAATGGCTAAGGACTGACAACTCAGGGATTATGGGAGTTGTAGACCAAAGTGTCTGGAAGGCACCAGGCTGGAAAGCAGATGATTTAGTATGTGGAAATTTTTGGCTAAAGTATGGGCTGCTTTTTAAGCAGTCCTTTGTTTATTGATATCTTACCATTTGTGTATTGTCTAATAACTGGGCTGATGCTTTCTTAAATAGTGAACTGCTGTAGCATTTTTATTGTTGGATGTTTCACATTGTTTATTTTGCTATTGTATTTGAAAAATGTCAACCACTTCAGGCTTCCTTTAGGAGAAAAAAAGGGGGAATACAAGTTGGTGATCATGATATTGTTAAATTTATGCTCCAGGTTCATTAAAAAAATTTAGACTGGCATAAATGGGATCAGCTAATTGCTTCTCTAAGACAAGCCATGACTGAGCATGATTTTGAACCCAGCCTTTCCAGCACATCTATGTGCTATACCAACCTTATGCTCTCCAGGTGCACTCAACTACAATCTCCATCATTTCAATTCAAATGGTGGCTGATGGGTGTTGCAGTCCAACACATCTGAGGACCACCAGGTTGGTGCAGGTTGCATTACAGCATAGTAATGCTGAGACAGGGAAAACTAAAGACCTATGTGAATAATACTGTGACATGTAGTAATTGTATCCCTTCATGATCCCTGCCATGAAGCCATCAGGGGCACATGAATACCTCTCAAGACCAGTCATTGGCAACCATTACCCAGGTGATGACAAAGCATTCTGTGCTAGCAGACAGAACTGAACCTCAGCCAACAAGGTGGCTTGGAAGCTGTCAACGAGTCTGGACTGAGGAAGAAACATGTCAGAGTCTGAAAGATGCTTGATGCAAAGGAATACTCTAGCAAATACTGCAATGTAAGAAGTTGCCAAGCATAATATACTGGGGATTAATGAATTTCCTGAAGAAAAGTTTAGAACAAAACCTATAAAAACTCAAGCACTAGTTGCTCATCACTAAATTAGGTGGAAATATTTGGGCACAGCTGTAATACATGGTAGCTGCAATCCTAACCACCTTTATCAAGCAGCAAGCCCCCTGAAATAAATTTTTACTTCTAAGTAAAGTTGCCTGGGAATGTGCTACCCACCTATCTCAAGTAGACCACATGCCACTTACTGTGGAAGATTTCCCCTACATTTCATGGAGAAACTCCAAAATAAGATCAGTTTGTGGAAAAACCTCAGAAGGTTCAACTCCAAAACATCTCTCAATAGGGCTGGGAAAGGGTCCTGTCTGAAAACCTGAAGAGCTGCTAACAGTGAACAGAAATACCAAGCCACAGACCAGGAATGGGGAATATATGGCTTTTTAGTGGTTGTTGGACTGCAACTCTACCTTCACCACTGGCGGCCGTGCACTGGCATGCAAAAGGCCATTCTCCTGACAGAGCCCCACAGCCTGACTCTGTCTAAAGCAGTTCCGACATGCCTAAAGTCATCCCTTTCACTTCCCAAGAGAGAAAAGTTACAATTGTTTTTAGAAGTCGGCACACCATTTCAAGTCTACTGCGAATGGCTCTTTTTCTTGCTGCTTCGTCTGTGTTTCAATTGTGAGGTAATCTATTCCACCTGCTGAAGAAAGCCTCTCTAAAAGACGCCTTGCGGAGCTCACATCCATCAGGTATGGCCTGCTGTAGCAGCGACTGTCCAGGGAAGTACTGACAAAGACGGTCTCCTTTCTTAAGGAAAAGGAATCCCCTGATACTCCCTGCGAGAGACATAAAGAAGCAGGCGCCAAGCAAAGCGCTCGCAGAGAAGTATCGGCATTCCACCCCATTGTTCGTTGCACAGATTACTCACGAGGCGGCAGACTGAAGGGTTTCCAGCCCGCAATCGTCTTACAGAGGCGGCGTTCTTCTCGAGTTAGGGGAAGTAGGCGACCACGCGCGGCGAACACAAACAAAACCAGCCTCCTAACGCCGATTCCAGGTTCGCTCCTGTTGCCGCCTCCGCGGGAATTCAATCCACCCGCCAGCACGCACGCCTCCAGCAGCCGCTCTCAGCATCGCCCGCCACCCCTCCCTCCCTCCCTTGCCCAGCACCATCACCCCCTCCAGCTACCCACAAAGGATGCGTCCTACCAGCCCAAACCAGACGAACCTCTGAGGCCGGGGTTGTCATCCTTGGCCCTGATCTTGCGGATTTTCACCGGACGCCCGCTCAGCGTGGAAAGCACCAGCCTTTGCCGCAAAAAGTTGCACCCAACATAGCTCAGGGAGTGAGATGCGCTCGCCATGTTGCTGTTGCTGCTGCCGCTGCGCGCCAATGCATGCACGCCGGCCGGCCGGCCGGCCAACCAGCTAGCTAGCTGGGTGCCGCGCAGAGCCGGGCAGGCGCGCACAGGCGGGCAAGACAGCGGAGCCACCTGGCCGCGACGCTCACACAGCACCGCCGCTCCTGCCCCGCAGTGCCCAGCGCGCGTCCACGTGGTTTGGAACAGGAAGATGGAACGCTGAGACAGCGGCGGGGTCAAAGGGAAAGGGGCGGGGCCTCGGGAGGGCGCTGCGCGGAGAGGGAGCCGAGCCGCTCGGCCGAGGCGGCTGCGCGTGGCGCTGGTTGCGGGCGGATTCTGGGCGCTCGGAGAAAGGCGAAGTCGAGGCTTGCCGAGCCGTTGCCACGCTCGGAAGGGTTATACACAAGACGGGTCACACCCAAGTGCAAAGGCTTCATCCTGATTAATTCCTAGCGATCTTAAGCATGCATCTTCTGAAAGTTAAGCTGCAGGAACACTGCGGCTGTGATCCTGTTCCCACTGACCTGGGAGTAAGCCTCATTGCACGATATGGGCTTCCTTCTAAGTCGGTATGCACAGGATCACGCTGCTAGAGCCACGTGCATCTTGTTCTGTTACTACGGAGATACAAACACAGAGACTCGGCTACCTTCGGAACTCCAGGGAAGAAGCTCTCAGCCCTAGAGAACGACTGTGGGGAGACCGTGCACTCGCAGCTCCAGCATTCTCATGTCTTGTTGTGTTACGCGGCGATTTTATATTATCCCTGGCTCTCCTGAGATCACTGTTCATTTTCATGTAAATACTTATAATTCCAAAGTGAAATGAATGTTAAACACTAAGCTACTGTCATCCAAGAAGAATAGGACTAACTATGAGTCAGTTTTCCTTCAGGCACAGCAATCATTTTGGGTTATTGATCGTTGCCCATACGATTTTCTTTTTTGCTGGAGAAAAAAATAAATATGCCTCTATAGGGCTACTCTGAACTGGAAGAATGGGGAAAACAGGCTAACAAAACATGTTTCCATGTGGGATAGATGAAAGCAGCAAGTCCAGTCCTACACACAGGCAAGATGGGTGTATCGTTTGGGGCAGTCAAGTCAAATTTATGTATCTATATATGTTCGGAGTAGGGACCTGTTCCAGCCCTAGGGTCCAGATTGCCTTCTGACCCCCTGACATAATGAGGGATGCTTCCCCATGAAGAGGGACATAAGGGGTGACTTCTGTGCCTGCCTGTCCATGCGGCAAGGAGTTGCTCCCTGCTGGGAGAGGCAGGGAGTGATTGCTCTGTGCCCGTCCATGCAGTATTTGCGTGGAGCAAAGGGTTTCTCTGCAACATGGTTCTCTGCAACACGGAGCAAATGTTCCTGCTTCTCCTTGCACAGAGAAGGGACAGTCCCTCTCAACCTTTCTCTAGTATTGATAAAGGAAAGCCCCATAGTTATCTCCAGTGAGTGAGCAGGGTTTCCTTTCTTCTACCTAGAAAAAGGCTGCCTTCCTCTAGAGGGGCCAGAGGATCCCCAGTCGTGACTGCTGCACTCAGGTGGGCTCACAATAGATATCAAGGCAATATTCAATAATAAGTTGGAACTATTGAAGAGGAACAAATTATTTATTATTTAATTTATTGTAGCAAACAGTAATTTTTTACCAGTAATGCTGGGAATTGTAGGCTGCCTTCTGTCTAAATTTAACAATGGATTGCACCTTAACAATGGTTTCACTGCTTTATTAATTGCTTGCTAGTAATAAAACTATTGTTAAAGTGCAATCCTATGCAAATATAGACAGAAGGTGGCCTACAATTCCCAGCATGTCCCCGCTCACCATGTTGAGAGTTGTATGCTATTTTTCTGTGTGAACCCTCACAGGATTGTGTCCTTAGACTGCTTTTCTGATTATTCCTGATGATTCTGTTACAGGGGAATTATTTCTTTATAATTTTGATCAGTGCAGCTATTATTCCAGTCCATTGCTTCTCAGCATCCATTCATGAACTCAATTCTTGGCTTTTGTTCAGAGTAATAGAAGAATGAGGCTCTCTCCATCAGGAGTATGATCACTTTAGTCAGCATGTTATGATAGGGAGAACTTTATATTGTCCAAAAGATCACAAGGTCATTAATTATCAGTCAATATTGCTAATATATGGAGTGAGAGAAAGTTAAAAAGAGAATTTGGATCTCAGTCTACCAGGTAAATTTACAAAGGCCTACTGTAAATCTGCCTGCAGTATTTATTTTACAACATTTGTTATGGTTTTCAACCAAAAGAGTTTTCGATAAAGAAATCTGATTGATAGGCTGAGCATAGACTTCCCACAATACCAAAGCCAGGCCATCAGCTGCTGCCTGTGCTCCCATACAATAGTGCTGAGTGTTCCTGGCTTTGCTGCTATGAAAAATGGAGGTGATAACACATGTGGTTTTTGGGTAATAGCTATTCTTCAGAAGCTTTCGCCAGTTCTCCATTTCTCATCGGATTGGTTATCAATTGCTCCTATTCCTTACAGCAGCCTGGATAACATGTGCCCCTCTTGCCTTTTTTTGTGGCCTCTGCCACCCCCATCACTGCTGTCCAAATATTGCTAAATTTTGCTAACCCCATGGCAAGAAGCCTCCCCTTCATTTCAGCCAAAGGCCCTTGGGAAGCACACACCTTGTTCCAATGAAGATCTGTATTCCTCCAGGGCTTCTGGGAGCCTGATGGCGACTCAGTGACAGCTGTGCTGGGGAAACTGACCTCTGGCCCCACTGAAGTGGCCCACCCTTGCCGTGGTGATGGCAGCCGTTGGAGGCACTGGAGGGTGCCTAGCGATCTATGAGGTCCTTTCCCCAAAGAGACTGCTGGGGTTCTGCTCAGCAGCCAGGTGCTCTCAGTCCTCGCTGGGACTGGTGTCCAACTCAAGGGGCTGCTGCACTTGACAGGAACAGTGGACAGTACGGAGGGTAGTGGCAGACCGTCAGAGCCCACTCCCCAATCCATTGGGTATCCCTATTGCCACTCGGACTACTCAACAATAGCACCGCATGCTATGAGTCCAATGATATGCATTTTGCAGTGCCAGCGAGCTCAGGAATGGGCAGTATTTTCTCCAAGCTCAGGAGCGGAAACAGATTTCCAGGTAGCTCAGGCCATGTATGCACTATCTGCACTGAATTCAAGTGGTTGTACATAGGACTCAGGCTTTGAAGTGGCACCAAGGAGGAAATGGGATGCGTTTGTTCAGTCCACATCAGTGTATCCTGTGATTCACTTGCTTTATAACTGGATGGACTGTTTGCGAACAAGCCTGAATTAGCACAGTCATACTCATTACCATAAAAAGAGCAGTTTGTCAGTGGAGAAATCAAAAACCTGGAGAGGCAGCAGGCAGGCAGTTGGGCAGGCAGCGTTCTCTTCCTGGAGAGCCAAGGACCAGCCAGAGACTGCTGGACTTGCAGCTTCATTTGTTGGCGGAAGAGAAAGCTGTCTTGGCAACTGCCTCCCCACGCTCAGGGCTGGCCTCAAGGGGGGATAAGGTCAGACCTCGCTGCAGGGCCCTGAGCGCCAGCAGGGTTGGTTCTCTGCTGGATCTGACTGGACCCCTGGTTGTTCCTCCTCTTCACCATTGCAAGTTGCTTTTCACCTGCCTCTTGCTGCAGCCTGGACACGGATGGTAGTGAGAAGGAGCAGCAGGACAGGCCGATGCCTCCCTGCTTACTGGCTCTATGCCCGTCAAGCTAGCAATCGGAGAGAGAGTTGGCAAGGGACTATAGCAGCCGCCGACAGTGAGGAGGGAGACTCCCTGGGGCAAGGAGGCACTGATGGTGCCTTTCCCATGGGCCCTCGAAAACCGGTAGCTGTCACCCCAGCTCCACAAACAACTCTGGCTGGGGTCAAGTGAGCGTTTGCAGGATTCATGCAAACCCTGATTTAAATAGGATTGCAAAGAGGTGGGCTGGCTTCCTAGGTTCACCTGAGAAGAGATGGGCTTTCCACTCCATGTGGAGCATTCACAGTTGAGCATCTTGAATTGTCAGACAAGGGGGGCTTTTGCACAATATACAAAACTCTCCTCAGGTTTCCTGTTTTGATTTTTCCTCTTGAATCATGTGTGTATTACCTTTTACCACCATAATTTTCTATGTGGTGCATAGATCTATGCATGAGATCTAGCCATCACCATTCAAATTCGATACAAATATAAATGTATGCTCATTCTACTTTATAATTCAATTCAAATGGATTTGGAATCAATAATATATATTTTAACTTATTCTATGATCAGTATTTGATGCAGAAATCTATATACCCAGAAAGAATTTTGAAACAAGGAGTAGAAAGGATTCTAGGCTTGTGCTTATTAGCCTGAATGCTGCCAACCAGCAAATTAAGCAGCGTGCACAACCTCTGGTCAGCTATAGAGGTGTGGCGGTCACAGGGATCCAGCTGAGGCATTTCTATTTTAACGAGGTTAGTGGCATCCTCTGCCACCCCCTTAGAATTACCTGTTTCCTCTGTACTCAGCTGCAATCCTCAGAATAGCTGGGAGGAGAGGAATTTTTCCAGCAACAATATATGTTTCCTTGTTGACATATAAAGGATGGAGGGTGTCCTGGTCTCAAATGGGCAATTAAGAGGCCTTAGTTTTACAGAACATCTCCTTCTGGTGGAGATGAAATGTGCTCAGATTTGTTTGTTGAAATGGATCAGAACAGCTACCTGCAATATTAGATATTCCTGGGGAACTCTCATGATGAGCACCTGCATTTCAAAATGTAGCACTACATCCCAGTCAGGTATGAGGACCACTTTAAGACAGCGCAGCTTCATGGTGCTATATATGGAATAGCACCGAGCAAAATTTCTACCAGCTCAAAGCCCCTTTAGCATCAAGTGCCTTTCAACTGAAATTGCTGCAAAATGCATTTGTGAGGCATTGAATAAGGAACCAATATTTGTAGTAGTATTAGTAAGATTTATATAGCGCCATGTATGTATGGACAGGTCTCTATCCTAGGAGATTGCAATGTATAAACAGATACAAGAAAAAGAACAGATGAAGGAGAAAGGGAGAGAGAATATGCAGTCATCTTGGTTGCACATATT